CATTCATAGATATTTTTTGTCCTACAGTATTTGCCACAAAGCTAGATTGACTAGATTTATACTCTGCTGTTCTTTCTCATCGTTGTTTTCAGCATTTGTTTCATCTATCATTTATGATAAAATCATAGAAACTTTCACTGGAAGAATCCGTGGAGGTCATCCAGTCCACTATCTCTCTTGGAGCAAGTGTTTTGCCAATTCTAGGTCAAAGCAGCAGTTGTGTTGTATGCTGAAGCATGTGAAACCTCCCAGGATGGAGATTCCACCTCCTTTTGATTAACCTGTTGCAGTACTATAATGCTCTCCTAGTGAAGAAGTTTTTCTAATGCCCAGTCTGAACCTCTCAGACTTTAACTTGTGGCTGACAGCTCTGTTTTGTAATCTGTAATATCAAAGATTTCAGCTCTGTTGTGTCTGTAACTCCTTCAAGTGGTTATGAACAGAAAGTTTTTTATCTTCATTTTGGAAATCAGAATTAACAGATGGATTGTTCTAGCTAGAATAGCAAATGAAAAATATTTCTCTGATGTGATGATCCTACTTGCAAGGACCTACAAAAGGTCCTTGTGAGATTTTTCCATATGCCACATCTTTCTCCAAGAGGGGCTACTTCACCTATGTTGTGAGCTTAGTAGCAAGAAAAGATGATTTGAAGTGAAATATTCTGCCATAGGATCCCAGGAACAAGGATTTGAAACTGAAAAGTTGTAATGGATTTTTACTTCTGATTACATACGTAGAACATATTTTCAGAGTGTGGACTGCTTGCAGTGACACAACAAAATCTGACTTTATGGACATCAGTAGTGCATGGCAATACAGTATTTGTAGTTGATAATAATTTCCTCTCTGATGCACTTTTTGGTTATTCCCACTCAGGGCAATTGCCATGGTTTAACCCCAGCCAGCAATGAAGCACCACGCAGCTGCTTGCCCAGAGACACACACGCCCTCCCGATGTGGGGGGAGAATCAGAAGGGCAAAATGGAGAAAATTTGTGGGTTGAGATAAAAACAGTTTAATAGGTAAAGCAAAAGCTGTGCACGCAAGCAGAGCAAACTCATTCACCATTTCCCATCATCAGGTAGGTGTCCAGCTGCTCCTCAGGAAAGCAGGGCTCCATCATGTGTAATAGTTATTTGTGAAGACAAACACCATCACTCCAAACATTGTCCTTTCCTTCTTCTCCCCCCTGCTCTATACGCTGAGCATGATGTCCTCTGGCATAGAGTATCCCTTTGGTCGGTTGGGGTCAGCTGTCCCGGCTGTGTCCCCTCCCAGTTTCTTGTGCACCCCCAGCCTGCTCGCTGATATGGGGTTGTGAGGAGAAGAAAAGGCCTTGACTCTGTGTAAGAACTGCTAAACCATCCCTTATTTTCAACACCGCTTTCAGCACAAATCCAAAATATAGGTCCATACCAGCTACTATGGAGAAAGTTAACGCTATTCCAGCCAAAACCAGCACAGCAATGGAACAGAACCATATCAGTTTCCATACCACCAAGCGTAAATATATTGGCTTTCAGCATAAACTGCAGAGTATGTAATTCTTAACACTTTTTGGAAGGGGGTGTTTGTTATAATACTGGGTGATGAAAGAATCCCAGCTTGAGGTGAAAGGTCCTGTGTTTTGGACGTTGTTCCAACTGTATATATGTTGTTTATGTGTGCAATATTTTCAAATGAATAATCTTTGAGAAGTCGTATTAAGGGCTGTAAGACATTACTGCAGTAGGGTCCATATACTGAATAGCAGCAACGTGTACTCCAGGGAACTGTCAACTCCTCTTTACAAACCCATTAGACAGAGTCCATCTGCTAACACTGGAAGGGAACAGTTGACTCACTGAGAGGTCTATCCAGCAAACCCCTAGTTGCACGCACTGCATACAACAGACAACCTTCTGGGGCTTACCAGAAACTCTGAATCTTGTGGGCTGCAATATTTGCATTATTTTTATCCTGCTGCTATGTCAGCCAATCTCTCGTGTGCTTCACCCAACAACCTTTGATACCACTCTTCCCCCAGAAACTATGATCCTGCAAATAAATGAAAACTTAATCAGAATTCATTCACATCAAGCTTTGTCTGAGGAAAATGAAGGCACAGGATAAAAAGACTTTTCCTACTTCTTCTTTAAAACATTTTTTCCAGTTTTAGTGGGAGAGAATTCAGCAACCGTCAGGAGAAGCAGACAGAATCCTCATTGCCAAAGTGAAGTGCCTGTGTTCTCAAGATCTTAACACTCCTGAAGGGGGATGTGCAATAAGTCTTCTGGAGATGTCAGCGAGACCACAAATAGTTTGAGAAGAATTAAGTAAAATTTTAAAATAATAGACTACAGGTGGCCTGTGGGAAGACCCCCAGTACACAAGGAATATGTGTTTGGCTTATTCCAAGAAGCCTTGCAGCTGTGTTTTTAATATAAGCTGAAGTCTGGGATGTAACAAGATTTAGTCAGATGGCACGTAAGATGGAATGATAGCAGTTATAGTATATAGTTATATGATTAATACAGCAAACCTAGCTGTAGTAAACCTTTTTTGTTCACTGCACTATTAATGTTCTGTGAGAAACGTATATCTAAACTCATAATTCATATCTACATTATAGGAAAAGGTTGATCTGAATTAGAGGCAGTATCAGATACCAAAATCAAGTAAGATCCCAGATAATATCAATCTATGATTCCTAATTTTCAAAGGTTAAGCAGATATGAAATAGCATTACAAAGACTGAACATAATCAGTGTATTTAGTACAAACTGTCATATTTGATTCCTGTCTTCAGAAACAACTAACACAAGCAAGGATTTCAGGTTTGGCAACTGTGTGCCCTGTATTCATCCCCACAGGCCCCAGAAGGATAATTCTTAAACCTACAAACTGTCTCGTGCAGCCTCTCTCTCTTTTTTTTTTTTTTTTTCCTGAAAGACTATCCAATTACTTAGTGCTGTGCTGGGAGTACCTGGGGAAATAGTAAAAGGAAATACAACTGAGAGCCACTGTGGTTTGAATCCTCTCCAGATACTTTGAAAATATTTTGGCAAAAACAAGATTTTAAGTAAAACTGTTTCCTTTGGTAACATACCCAGAACTGCAGGTTTTACATTTTTGTACTTAGTATGGAGGGCCAAAAAAAAAAAAAGCCCTTGTGTGAGAAGGTTGTACACGTGGTAGTAATATTGGTGGGGAAGAAAGAGAGAGCAAGGGGGGGAAATTTGAACAAGATGCAGAAATAAGACAAGGAGAGAACATTTTACAAATATGTTTCTTCCACTGGGAAAACGAACCACACAGTTCTGTGAGAGGGAAAATTTGTTTGAGTACCTTAGACTTTTAGGGAGTGATAGGAGCAGCACAATGGTTTGTTCATCAAAGGACATCTCTGAGAAAAGAGAAGAAAAACATGATTTCTTTCTCAATGTTTTGTTGTCAAGCTGTGTCAATGAGTGAGCTCTTGAACTGACAGTGACAAGTCAGATTTTTTTTTTTCCCAGGATATTCCTTAGAGTACTTCTGATCATTTTTTCTCTCTGAAGTAAAAACTTGTGAGAATTTTCAGTGAGAACAGAAAGAAGTGCAGTGAAAAGCTTTCTAAATGCATTGCCCATACAGAGTTTTCTAGGTGTCTAGGTAATTCGGAGACCTATGAATATTTAAATGAATGAAATGAAACATTAATGCCTTTACCCTTCAGGACTGCTTACCTCCTTCAGCAGATCATTGTGTCTGTTTGGCTGCCGCCAATTACAATCTGTTGGTTGCATGCACAAATTCTAACTCACTCACATTTGTAGTCTCATTGCTGCCCTGGTCTGTACACTTCACTTGCACGCAACATGGTTGGCATTCAAAAGAACAGTGCTAAGTCACTGTTATTATTCACCATAAGTTAATTACCAGATCAGCAGAATAACAACTCTCTTCAGTTATTCATTTCCAAATACAAAAATTAAAACTCCTTGCCACAGCTTTCAGACAGATATATCTTCACATGTTTCCATTTTTGTCATGTCTCTGTTTTTGTTCAACTTGCGAGAGATTTTTTTCAAGGCTGAATTACTTTTTTTCCTCAACATTGTCTTATCACATCTGGTCAAATCTTTCTGCTTTGGATGGAAATGTCATGGGTTAACCTGTGTTTAGATCACAGTTTTTCTTCAGCAGGATACTTTTTCTGTCCTGAAACCACTTGTTATTGGTAACTCAAAGAAGCCATTCTTTTAAAACAGCTGTAGGATGGAAGTCATCAACTTCAGTGGGATGACACAGGTGCTTACTTACAGTTTTGCAAACTGGAGTGATGTAGAAGTATTGTACTGGGAGAAGTTATCAAGCATGTGAGGTGTGAGTTTAGGAGTAGCCAGAACACAGGGCTGCAAATCAAGAAGAGAAAAGGAAGAAAGGGTAGGTAACGCGTGAACAGAGATGAGGAGGGCTTGAGGGAATTGAGCATATTTGGGCAGTAAGTCTTTGAAAATGGTGTGTTAAGCAGGAGGCAGGAGGAGCACACTGATACAAGACTCTAAAGGATAGTGACGGAGGTGACTTTTGATACTTGCAAAGAAAAGCAAATGGACATAGTCCTTTAATGAATGTAATTGAATTCATAGGTTTGATTTTCACTTGAACCAAGAGTTTAGGTTATTCTTACTTAGCTGAACAAGTCAGAACGAATATGAAATAAAATGTAAGAGGCTCTTTTCAGGGGGAGAAAAATCTACTAACATGAAACAATGTATAATGTCCAGCAACTGGCAACTTGCCTCTTTCCCGTACCATGCTAAATCTTTTTTCTCAGACGCTGAGCTTCATTGTTCTTTGTACCTTGCTGAATTCCTTAGTTATTACACACTGAAATCTAGTATGTTTAACCATGTCTGTGTAGCCCATTTCTAGCAATTCTTTAATATGTCTTGTTTATAAACAAATATTTCTGCTATTTGACCTTCTTCAACTTAAGTGTCTGTTTTTTCCTTTCCTTTTCTTTTGTTTAGCCAGGAAACCTGAACATTCTGTTAGGCACAAACCCCGTTGGAGGACAAATTCACCTCAAGTAAGTGATAGTACACAAACATCTAATGGAGCCATCCCACTTGAAGAGTTCAGACTCCTCTTTTGGTAATCAATGGAAAGGGTGTTTCTGACATGACTGGTCTTTAAAGGCTTCCTGAAGTGAAACTGTATGAACACCGTCTTTGGGTGTTTAAAATCGAAATCCTCTTTTACACAGCTATCTTTCAGGAGCCGATTACAAAATAGCCTGTGACTCTGAGCTTCTATTCTGTTTTCTGAGATGCTGAGAGGTGGACTGAGACAAGTACATTTTCTTAAGAAGTACCCAGAAAAAAAAATGTGGCCATTTGGTAGAGCAATTCAGGGAAGAACCTTAGTTCAAACAGAGAAGAGTTAATTTGTGAGAAAATACTGTGTGTTCACATATCCAGTACACATGGGTCAGTTGTTCCATAAACGATGAGTGTGTTCCATTAACGTGTTATGCCAGGAAGCTTTAATTTCTACACCTAATTCTTTCATGATCTTAAGCCAATTTTTTAAATGTTCGTGTACCGTCTTTGAAAACAAAGCTTCAATGGAGAAATTCCTGGATTATTTCTGTAGTGATTTGTTCTAGTGGTTTGCAGCATGCCATGGAGAATGGAGGGAATTCTTCCTGGAATTCCTTGGAGATCTATTTTTTAGTCATTTGCATAACTATTCTGAAATTAACTTGAAGTTCTTATTATTGTAACTTAGATTAACTGTTTCTTTTGGAGATGTCCTAGGGGTACTTACAGTGATGACTTAGAGCAATAACTGTTGTGTCCATTCAGACCTCGGGCTGTACCAGAGACCGGGCTCCTTTTCTACAGTGGCACTAAACTTTGAAAGTGTGGGTCATGTCCTTACTGATGTCAGCAAAAGATCACAGTGGTGACAGCACACACCATGTTACTCTCAGCTCACTAGCAGACAGAGCATTTGCTAGATCTGTATTCTTCTCCAAGACATAGCTCATTTACTCTCGTGACTTCTGTTTTCTTTTTGTCCTCTTACTTTTTTCCCTCACATTCTTTATCAAAAATATAAGACATTGGACCCATAATTCCTCTCTGTATATACATACTTATGTATGAAGCTTTGGGTTTACCTTCCACGTTCTGGCAAATGACCTCAGCTGATGCAAGCTTTTCAATCATGGGCAATTTGAACATCTTTTCTGTTGAATCTCTTCAGCATCAGGCAATACCCCAAGATCAGTGGCCTCCAACTCCCGCAGGCTGACTGGCAGGCATTCTTCTTCAGGGAAAAGCTGAACTCACATTCACCCTCAGACATCTTTCTGAGGTGTTTGATCCTGTACTATCCCCTTTTTGTAGTTATTTTTCCTACTTATTTTCTCCAGCGGACTCCTCTTCTGCCCGCGTTCATCCCTATAATCCTAGACTTCCTTGCCACCTGCCTCCCTGCTGAGGGAGGGCTCTTTGTTCTTTCCTCCCTTGCCTTTCCTCGGAGATTGTCTCCAACTCTACCAGTCTCTGTCCTGTGAGAAAGGACAGAAATAAAACAATTCAGACAAGGCCGCCTTGCCTTCAGTTTGCAGCCTTCCTAGGACATACCTGCATCTCTGACAGTGACAGGTGACTGTCATCCACACCTTTGCAAGGCACAGCCAGCAGTGTGTTGACATCCCAGTTCTTTAATGGCACTGACGCCAGTCACAAGATAATTCTGTGTGAATCACTTGCAGCTGCAGAAAGTTTGATAGAGCATGTACGTTCTACCTGAATATAAAAGGAGGTATCTGGTGTACTTAGAGTTCTTCAAGATGTGCAGACCATGTGCATCTTCGCTTCCTCACCTCATTGCATTCTGTTCTATTGTCCTATAACTCTTCGATTGGATCCTGGGCTGAGGGGAAGGGTAGGCATGGGGTGGCACTCCAGTAGACACAATCTCTGCACGCAGGATTGGTGAACCCTGTCAGATGCTAATAAAATTAACTTTATCAGCAGTAGAGAAAAATCTCGGTTATGTGTATTTGGCAGAATGTCATGCGTATGTGTGTGCGTGTCTCAAATAATTCCTGCTATTCATTAGTAGCCTCTTTTCTCTTAGGCATCCTTTGTTAAGGATGATTAACATTTAGAGGGAAAGGTATTTCCATTCTGGTGATATTTCTGCTTTTTTTCCTTTGATGTAAAAGTGCATAGAGATGAAGTGAAATTCATAGCCACTCTTATTGTAAGGTTTTTCTTCTCGTATGTCAACTCTGTTTTTCCTTATATCAATAGTTTTGTTGTGATGTGTTTCTAAATTAGCATTTTATCTATTAGATTAGTACATAAATAACATGTAGATATTAAAGATGAAGATGCCCTAATTAATGTTGATTTAATTGCTGGTAGTTTGACTATAAAAATATATCTTTTTTCACATTTTAAAATAATCTAGACAAACCAGATTCTTTGAATTTCTTTCAGAATCACTTAGATATAGATATAAATTAGCAGGTGCAATGAAAATGTTAGGCATCTTTTTACAGTGTAATGTTCAAATGCAGATTTTTTTATCAGAGGCGAGATAGAAGGAGAAGCTGACACAGAGACATCTACTGGTAATGCAGGAGAGTAGTATTGAATTCAAGTGCTCATTTAGCCTTCCTGGGAGGCTTTTTTGCACTGAACTGAGCCTTTGCATCTTGATTTGCACATTTGATTTGATTAATGATGCTCTTATCTCCCTGTGCTAGAAGCATAGCTATTAAATCAATAAAAAGTCATATGGACATTGAACCAGTCTTCACGCCAACACGCCATGTTTAAATAACTTTTATTGTCTCCCTTCTAAAAAAATGAGAGAAAAACAAACAGATTTTGTTGCAGGTATTTAATGTAGGAATACCTGAGTAATTTCAAAACAAAAAGGAGAACAGTCCTAAACCTAATGAATCATTTTCCCAATCGTCAATACCATCCTAATTCCACTTAAACCAAGAAACAAGCTGGAGACTCCTGCCTGCAGTTCTTAGAGCACAGACATGAAGTAGTTAATGTTGCAAGCACCTTCTCCTTGGTAACTTCATAGACAACACTTCACAGCTAGGAAAAAAATGATGTTATTTATGAAAAAGAGTGTCAGTAAGTGTTGAGAATGTTAGCAAGTAGCAGAAGATGGAGGCTGGTAAATGAGTTAATTGGCTTCATGGCTATGAAAGTGTAATGCTGTCATGGCTTGAAACTTATTTGTTTTGACTGAGGCTGAAAAGGAAGTTCTTCAGACTAGGTACAGATTTATTTTAAGGGGTGGCACCAGTCTGTGGCTGGGTAGAGTCCCCTCTTGTTATGAAAAAAGATCTGATTTTTCTATTGATGAAATAATATCAGTTTGGAATTCCCATTTTTACAGCAGAGAAAAAGAATTTAGTTGGCAATTGGGACACTCTGCCTGGGTGCCTTAACATACCTTGAGCAGCACCAGCAACTGCTGAAGACACTTCTGCTCCCAATGCTGCCACCTTACCCTGTCTTATCCTCTTACCTATCAAAATCCAAGTGGGAAATGCAGTGCTACCCTTAGGACGTGCACAGGAATTAGGACATTCATTAATATGTCCCAGAATCTTGGCTCATAAATTTACTCCACCCTTTTTGCTCTCTAGCAACTTTAACTCATACTTATCTCAAGCCAAATCAGGACAAATGCAAATCCAAGCATCACCCATGGTGTTCAAAATAGCCAGTATTTCTAAAAATTCTTTCTAAAGAGACAGATGAAGAAATAGAAGAAAACCCGTAGTTGATCTACAGATATTTTTTTTCTAAGAAAGGCCTCTCCTTCCAGCATCTGGCTGGCTGGTACCGTCCTAACCAGCTCGTATTTAGAGTTTCAAGCTGTGCACATGCATTGCTGCTTCTTCTTACGGAATATGCTCATTGTTCCAGCCAGTCTTGCCTTTGCAATCTACTACCTCTATGAATATTTAATCTTTCTGCCTGAAACTCATTCTGTTCCCTCTGTAAGTAGCAGGTAGCCTGACCAGTACTCATGTTTCACTGAAACATGTGTTCTGTATCAATTTGTATATCAGAAATGTACATGGTACAATCATTTGAAAAGGATAATTATATTATTAACGGCCCTTTGTGTACAGCATGCTCAATATTAAATAACCCCTTAGAGGTAAAAATGTATTAAGGGTGATGGATTTCTGGGCTCAAAGTTTAAAGAAACTCATGCCCTAACTTTTTTGTCACAACCAACAAGATGATCAAAATTGTTGGATTGCATATTAAACTGTTTCTGAAGGAACAGAACTGCATGAGGGATTCTATCAGGCTCTGTAGAGCTCTTCAATGTAGAGCTGATGTGGAAGGTGTTTTAAGGCAATAGGGATTACCCTGTCTCTAAATTTAGAATATTGAGCCACGTTTATCTGCAATATCTTGATAAAAACATCAGCCTTAGATATTGTGTAAGAATTTTTCCAAGAAAAAAGAAAAAGAAAAAAAAAAGAAAGAATTGGAAGAAGAAAAAATAAGCAAATTGCTTTAGTGCCTTCCTCAAAACCAATGGTGCACCTTCACACCAATGGCCAGAGTCACTGTGTGCTGCAACTGCTCTGTAACAATGCAAAATGTCTGTGAACTTGATTAATGAAGACTCATATGTCAAATGAAAAGTGCAGTTGATCTATCTATCTGCTTTTCTGCAGATATCACTCAAGTTTATCACTCTGATCTTCTAACCAGGTGTGTCTGACATGTAGGTCATCAATTAGGAATAAAAATATCCCGAAGTGCTGCAGCTGAGAGCGTGACACCCCTGGACATCTGCCCCAGGAGAAGGCACTCAACACTCCCAGAGATCTTTGGCAGATGACAAAGTACTTATACATGGAAAAATGTTAGCCCAACAAAGATAGATAGTTTTTCCTAAGTGTCTCAAAAACAAGCCAGTTCCTAGGTTAAAGGTATACACTATTTATTTCAGTATCTCAAATAGGTAGACCAGGGACCCCTGCCAAGATCTACTGATCTCACTAAAAAACAGGCA